TCTTTTTGGAGTAGTCTCTTTTACTGTTTCTAATACCCAATTCCTGAGGACGTACTTCCTCAAAAGCTATGAGATAGTGACATATTCTCGCCCAGTGATCATAGAGAACAGACATGAAATCCGAAGCTAACATAAATATTAAGCTGAAATCTGTGATGTACTGCATTCATGTGATTTTTGCCAAAGGGCGGGCACCACCATGCCCAAGATTCATGTGATATTTGAAACTACCAGTGCTGCTGAAAACAGTGCCTGGTTGAGGTTGATTGTCAGGAGGAGGAAAGCCAGTGTACTGATGTTCACGTTCGATAAATAATTATCTTCTCTCCTTTCCCAGTTTATATAAATTCTATCTCCTGCTCCAATTACTTCTCCAAATTGATTCTAAATTCACACCAGTCAAAGATGACCTTCCCGGCATCCTTGTCAGTAAACAGAAATGGGAAGACTGAAGAAAGAGCAGATTGTTTCAAAGCTAGAGAGATGAGCATTTTCCTGATACTTCCTCACATCTCTGTCTCTTTACCAGCCTCTGTGTCCCGCCATTATTTTGCTTTTCTCTGCCTCCCATCACAAAAAGCAGAGGTGTCCAGACTCACTATGGAAGGAACTCTCTTGCTTGGGGAAGTTCCATCAGCTTCTCTTGGGTTGATCTGTGCTCTCCTGGCCTGCTTCAGGTGTTTGCTGGGTTGATGGAGCTATGGTATGATTATTTCATTGTGACCCTCAAGAGAGTTTGCTCTGTAACCTCTCTAGGTACAGAAGTAACACTGGGCATTAGAATTGACTGGAACATCCCTCAGGGGACAGGGATCTCCTGGGACCTTTTTCTGGAGACTGAGGCTATTTTCAGAGCTGTTCAATTGTACCATAACATCTTGTGGGCATGCTTTAAGTTCCTTAAAGGAAGGTAATCAAAAGTGATGAAACTCTGTGTGTGTGTGTGTGTGTGTTGAATAGTGAGTGTTGTAGTTTGCATTCCCTAGAAACAAGATTTGCAGAAAGATTAGCATGGAGGGTGTATATTAAGGAGTGCTCTGGAGATCTGCAGCTATGAAAAGAAGAGAAAAGGATGAGAATTAAGCAGAGAGAAAAATAGGATTGTGACACAGTCGAATGAAGGTCTCACTTGACTCTATGGGGAGCTCTGGAATTAGGTGATGAGGGCTGGTTGTCTGTAATGACCACGTTGGTCAGTGGATGAGGGCTGTTCCTTGAAGGAAGCATGCTCTTTGGTGAAACTGTTTCCTCTAGCCAAGACAATCCACAAAGAAAGTTTAAAGCTGAGGGCTATCTTACAAGACAACCTGGAATGTGTTATAGTTTAGTCATTATCCACATTTGATTTTTACTTAATATACTGAGTTGACCCAGCTGTAAATCATGCTTAGTTTTTCTCCTTTCTTAGTCAACTGATTCCAGGGACTATGCTCTATAGCCCTAGATTTCTGGTATCTGTCTTGTATAAATGAATTCCTAGAAATGGTCTCAATGTTGGGAGACTCCTGCATCTTTGATTGTCTCCCACCCTCAGAGTGCTTCTGTCTTCCTAACGCTCCAACATGGTGTCAGCTTCTTGGTTATCTGGTCAAATTACCATGATTTTTACTACCATTGTGGAGCAATGTGATTTTCTGGTGATGTTTGGGTGATCTAGATTTTTCAAACCACATTATAAGAGAATTCAAGAGAGTTCACAACACCTAGGGGAAAACTACAAGTATGTCTTGTTTCCCATTCAAACTATTCTCCATCACTCCTTCTATTCCTTCCTGTTGATTCTTCTCACTCATATCTTGTTTCTGATCCTTTTATGCGATATGGGTGGAAAAGAATGGATTCACCAAATTAGTGGCTAAAAATTATATATCAATAGTTAGTAGTGATTGACTGTTTAAAAAAAATAATTAGAGGGATTCTGCAAACTGGCCATTTTGGGGAAACAGAAATCAAGACTTCCCACTGATAATTTGGCCTCCAGCACACAAAACTCATGTGGTAGGAAGACCCCTTCCAGGCCTCCTGTCTCCGTACCTGTCTTTGTCTCTCTCTACCTCTGTCTCTGTCTCCTCTCTTTTTTTAAATTTTTGATTTTTAGAATTTCAGTTTTCCAATTTATACTTTTTTTACTGAAATCTTTTTAAATATTAATTTTTAAAGTTTTATTGAAAAGTTTTTATCTTCGTTTTTCCTTCTCTTTTTCTGTTTCTTGTTTGTTCTTTGCTGTTGTTGTTGTTGTTTCTCTCTTTCTGTTTTTTTTTTTTTCTACATGCTCCTCAATGCTCAGATTTAACTTCCAAGTTTGGGAAGAAACTGACCATCAACCAGATGACTAGAAATCGCTGCAGGGCCACAAGAAATATGGGAAAGCAGGAAAATACCTCTCCTCCAAGGGAAAAGGATAACTCGTCTTCATCCACACACAGTTCAAGGGAATTCATGGAAATGTCTGATAAAGAATTCAGAACATTCATAATGGCAAAACTAACAGAGATGGAAGAGAAGAGAGACAATGAACTGCTGAAGAGGAAGGAGAAAGAAGTTGTTGAGTTCCAGGAGGTGAAAGTTCATTAGCAAATCAATTAAATGGGGGGGAAAGGCATAGAAAGCAACCATGGATACCAGAGACAATGTGGGAGGAGGGTGGGACATGGCAGAGGGTGAGGGATAGGGAATCAAGGATGGCAAAACAAACAAAGTATACAAGACATAAGAATTGGAAAATTATTTGCTGATAACATGTATGTTGATGTGCTTGATTGAGCCAATAAACAGTGTATTTTGGATGGAAAATTCATTGGTATGCTGTAATGATGTATAGTAAATGAATGTAAAAAATAAATAAATTTAAAGAGAAAAAATAATTAGAATAATAATAATAATAATGATGATTGGGGAAAACACAGAAAAGATATTGAATGTTGAAATGGGGAGATTAATGTCTCTGTATTGACTGACATGCATGGCATTCCCTTTTGAAAAAGCAATGTAATACACTGTAAAGTTATATGTAATCCAATGTAATATAAAGAAGATTATGATGATAATAAAAAAATAGTTAGGACCATGCTATTTTTTATCATAGCAGATATACCATATCTGGTGTACTTTGTATGCTGAATTATGTCATCTAGTTAATTGAGGTTAAGAGTTGGGCTTTTGCTTACTATAATGTTCAGAATCTGCTGTTATCAAAGGTAAGGGAGACAGAGATATATGATCCCTTAATAAGGTGATGAGTCAGACACATTCTTTGCTTTGGCAGAATTTTCAATCTTATGGGAATTTCAATTTCTCCTTCTCCATCATTTCTACTATTCCTCTCTCTAGATCCTTCTCACTCATATCCTAAATTAGTATGAAAGCTTTTGATAAGTTAGAAAAACAGGTAATGAAAGTATGAAAAATAAGAAGGATGATCAAAGGACCAAATGTTACTGGAATGTATAAAAGAAAATGAAATAAAAATAGAAAAAGTAAATGTTAGAGAAAGAGGAAAAAATGTTACTGAACAAGTATAAATTTTTTCCTGGAAGTTTTGGGAAGGCAAAGATTTTCAACACCTTTTTAGAGGAAGTGAAAAAGATGTGGTTTCCTAAGTGCCTTATGCGAAAAAAGAATTAACCCAATTAAAAAATGTGAAAATGAGCTGTACATAAATCTTTCTAAGAAAGATATACAAACAGCCAAAAAGAACATGAGGAAATGCTCAACATCCCTCAGGATAAGGGAGGTGCAGATAAAAACCACAATGAGATACCACCTAACCCCTGTCAGAATGGCAAAGATTAAGAATATAAAAAGTGATAAATGTTGGCAGAGATGTGGTGAAAAGGGAACCCTCCTACACTGTTGGTGGGAATGTGGAGAACAATATGGAGGTTCCTCAAAGATATACAAATAGAACTACCATTTGATCCAACAATCCCACTTCTGGGTATCTACTCAAAGGACAGGAGAATGCTCAGTCAGAAAAGTGCTTGCTCATCAATGTTTATTGCAGCATTATTCACAATTGCCAAGACATAGAACCAACCTAAATGTCCACAAACTGATGAATGGATTGGAAAAGTGTGGTATATACACTCTATGGAATACTACTAAGCCATAAAAAATAACAAGACCCTGGCATTTGATAGAAAGTGGTCAGATATGGAGGATCTATTGCTGAGTGAAGTAAGCCAGGCTATGAAAGAAAGATATTGTTTGTATCCACTTAATATATACCAACTATCCGCACTCTATTGTAGAGAGCGAAATATTGGAAGACAAAAAAGCAGTGAAAGTACTTAATGAGAATAATAGAGTGTGGAATGGAGGGGTGAAGAGGAGAGGATAGAGAAAGATAGCAAGAGAACAATAGAGAGGCAGGATGTTAGTGGGAAACAGATATGGCTTATTACCTGTTAATGATGGCATGTATAGTATTCTCAACTGGATTGGTCTGAGAAGTATTTCATGATGGGTAGTCTTTTTACAAGCAAACTGAGAAATAGTGATTGACTGTTTAAAAAATTAATTAGAATAATAATAATAATGATTGGGAAAAACATTGAAAAAATATTGAATGATGAAGTGGGGAGATTAATGTCTCTGTATTGACTGACATGCATGACATTCCCTTTTTAAAAAGCAATATAATACACTGTAAAGTTATATGTAATCCAATGTAATATAAACAAGATTATGATGATAATAAAAAATAAATTAAAAAAAGAAAAAAAAAGATGTGGTTTCCTAGAGAAGAAGTAGGAGGAAAAAAGGGGGATATAAGAAAACTAGTCACAAAGTTTATGTAGAACTTCAGATGAGTACTGAACTATAATATGGTCTCAATGGCTGATGGTTGAAGGTGCAAAGAAGTGGATAAAACCCAATATCTATGACACATATAAATTATTCCTCTTGACCTACAAAAGTTTATTGTGTATATAGGAAACTAGAAGAAACAGAGTTCAGAGGAACAGAAACCCTCATAGAAATGCATGCAAAGGTTCTGGCTAGGCTTTCTTACTGCCCATTAACTTCCCCAGTCCCCTCTTCAAGTCTTTGTTTCTCAGACTATAGATAAAAGGGTTTAGCATGGAGGACAGAACTGTATAGACTATTGTTGCCACCCGGTCCCTAGCAGTGTAGCTAGACAAAGGATGTAAGTATTCATAGTAGATGCTTCCATGAGCAACGTATTCATGGTAGATGCTTCCATAAAACAGGGTGACCACTGTCAGGTGGGAACCACAGGTGGAGAAGGCTTTGCGTTTCCCAGAAGCTGAGGGAATATTGAGAACTGTGATTAGAATTCGCATATAAGAGAAAGCAATGCAGAGAAAGGGAGTCACCAAAACAATGGGTCCTTCTGACATTATTATAATTTCATTGACATATATGGAGGAGCAGGACAACTTAAGCAGAGGGTTGATGTCACAGAGAAAGTGGTGGATGACATTTGAGTCACAGAAGGTGAGACTATTCAGCAGAAGTATGTGCAGGAGTGAGTGGAGGTGAGGAAATGAACAGGAGAAGGCCACCAGGAAGATACATCGGCGGTGGTTCATGGTGGTGACATAGTGAAAGGGGTCACAGATGGCCACATAGCGATCGAAGGCCATGACTGCCAGTAGACAGCTGTCACTATTTCCCAAGGCATAGATAAAATACATCTGTGTCAGACATCCAGCGTAGGAGATGGTCTTCTTTTCTGACAGGATGTTCTCCAGCATCTTGGGGACGACTGTGGTTGTGAAGCAAATGTCAGTGAAAGACAGGAAACTTAAGAAGAAGTACATGGGGGTCTGGAGTTGAGGGTTGAAGTGGATGGCCAGGATGATGAGCAGGTTTCCTGTTATGGTGATCAAGTACATGGTGAGGAAGAGGACAAAGAGTGGCATTTGATCTTCAGGCTTGGAGGAGAGTCCTAGGAGTATGAACTCAGAGACACTGCTGGTTTGGTTCTTCCTTTCCATTGTCATGGAGCCAGCTAAAATAGAGAAGATCCTTCCATTTAACAAGTGTCATATTTTATAGCTGTAATTCCTAGGCCCACAAGTCTGTACTTTTCCCCCTTTGTCTTTCTACCTGTATGTGGCCAGCTTGTCAACTTTGTAGTCCTTCATGGTCTTTCCTTCCCAACTCTTAAGATTTACAATTTGTGTTGATAGCATCGACTTAGAAAGAACACTTTTTCTTTCAGAAACAGATTCAAATCTTCCTGATTCAGTTTAAGATTACATCTTACAATAATTGTTTATTGAGCACCTACTTAGTGAAAAGCTCTTCTATGGGTGGGGACACAACTATGAATATGCCATAAGAAAACCTATCCTTGGGACCAGCAGTAAGCATAATGGCTATGTTGATGAACTCCCATATAGTCGACTGTGGTTCGAGTCCTGGACCCGGTGGCTTAAACTAACGCCAGGTGCGTGTGCGTGTGCCTAAGATCCCAAGGGGAGAATGGAGGAGAAGGGATTGTAGCATGGCCATCCATTTCTCGCTTTCTATCTCTCTGTCTCTTTCTGTCTTTCTGGCGAGCACACGTGCCCAATAGTTCTGGTGAGCGCATGCGCCCTATAGCAAAAACCTCTCCAAAAAAAAGAAAACCTATCTTTCAAGGCTTAGGATCCAAGCCAAGAACTCTTTATTAGTTGTGTCTGTAATATCTGTACAAACTGGGTGAATTTTTGTCTCCTTAAGATATCCAAAATAACTTGAGATTCTTGGGCCTGCCAGAGAGAAATAATTTTTACTCACTGTAAGGCTGGTAACCTTTGAAACCAGGTATTCAATGCACATTCTCAAATCTGACATTCTGGTCAAAGACTTAGCAACATAATTAATGTTTCCTAGTATATCCTGCTATAAAGAGAACAAATAGTTTTTAAGCAACTTATGCAAATACCCACACTTCCCCCAAAACAAAAATACTCACGAATAGTTTCCAAATTCTAGGGGATCATGTAGGGAGAAGAGTAAAATTTTTAATTCTATTCACCAATGTATATTTTACCAAATCATTGTAAACTATAGATAGCTTAAAAAAATCTGGAAAACAACCATTAAGGAATCAGCAGTGTTTCAAATAAGAAGCTGAGAATAAACCTAAATCAGTTCACTCAGTCTCATGTAATTTTATTCTTATTCTAGTTTTATTTTGTTTAGGAGTTTCATAAACTCATCTGTGCCTTCATTAGAGTTTTGCAAAAATATTATTTTGAAGAATTATTTATTTAATTTTATTTATTATTATTATTATTACTTGAAAATTTGCATTAGGGCACTTGTACTCACCTAAGAGAGAAATACAGAGAGAGAGAAAGTGAGAAAACAATCTGCCAGGTCTGGGACTCAAATCACAGTAGGCCATCTAGGAGTCCAGTGTCTTAACTACTACGCCACCTGTTGGCCCAAGTTTTGGAAAATGCTTATTTTGTCCAAAAATTTTAGAAACCTGTACTTTTTTTTTTTTTTTTTTTTTTTTTTTTGTTATAGTAGGGCGTGTGCACTTGCCAGAAAGACAGAGAGAGACAGAGACAGAAAGCAAGAAATCACCACCACCACCCCCCAGTGGGGATGGCCACGCTGCAATCCCTTCTCCTCCATTCTCCTCTCGGGATCTTGGGCATGCACGCACATGTGCCCAGTGTGAGTTTAAGCCACTGGGTATAGAACTCGAACAGCGGTCAGCTACATGGGAGTCCAGCAACATAGCCATTATGGTAACTGCTGGTCCCAGAAACCTTTACTTGTCAGAGTCTTTTTATGCTTTTGTGAATCAGAGCCCATTGCTCACTGTAGCACTCAAGGACCCAAGATGAAAGAAGCTCCACCATCTTGTGACATTGCCAGCCAAACATGAATCTCTTTGTGGTTTCGACATAGTTTTACCTCACTGTAGCCTTGAAAATAATGCATACTTTTAAAGAAAACTTATAAATAATACCTTCTAATTCGAATCAACTTGATCATATACAATTTCTTTTACAAGATTCATCCTCTACAAACTTTAGTCATTTGGCTTAAACTTCCCTTTCCTTTCACATTGGAACAACCAGTCTACTTTTAGACAAAAATTGTTCTCTTTTCCTTAAATAAAATGTATCCTCATATCTTATAGTCTCCTTTATGAAACATGCCACATTTTTTTGGCTATGAAATAGTTTCCCTTTCTGTTTCTGGTTTCATTTACCACATATTGGTTAGAATTTTAATGATTAGGAATTACGAGACAATCATGTGTAGACTAATATAATTTTATAATTTCTAGAAATAGGTACCTCTTATCATTTTTTTAATGTTTATTTTCTATTTTAAGTTTTTTTTATTTTTTAGAGGTTTTTTTTTTTTTTTTGCTGTAAGGGACATATGCTCACTGGAAAGACAAAGAAACAGAGACAGAAAGTGAGAAATCAGTCCCAGAGGTGATGGCCACGCCGCAATCCATTCTTCTCCATTCTCCTCTTGAGATTTTGGGCTACATGTACATGCACCTGGCGTGAGTTTCAAGTTGCCGGGTCCAGAACTCACACCATGGTAGACCACATGGGAATCCAGCAATGTAACCATTACTTCATCTGCTGGTCCCTTTAATGCTTATTAATAGATCCGAATATATTCAGCTTTTCTGTAACACATAAAAAAACAAGGTATCAAAGTCAATAAACTTTAAACTTATGCTTTATTAGTTTGTTAGTATTTTAACTTATTTAGAAATGATTTAGACATTTCATCATTACTTATTCAGTTAACACAATTTAAAGATTTTAAGTTGCTGAAAGTTTTTTCAGACAAGTTCATTTATAGACCTTTATCCTATTTTCATTCACTTTATTTACTCATTTTTTTAATAATTGTACTTAATTGCTCATGGAAAAAAAATGTTGTCAATCATCTTACTTTTCCCTTTGAAAAAGCAAAACCAAACTGAAACTGCACCAGTCAGCCTTGCTGTAATCAAAGCTTCAGGATGTTGTACACAGGAACCCTCTCGAGTTTCATCCCCTGATTTCTCTGTGCTCTGAGCACCCACGTGGTGCCCAAGGCAGCTAGAAAGGGCAGAGCCTGTCTAGGTTCTTAACACACACAATAGGTTCAGATGCAGGGGAGAGAGAGGGCATAAGACAGAGGACAGATGGTGTGAAGATGATGCGTATAGATTTCTCCCAGCCTGGCCAGGATGCAGAGCTGGTTCAGGGAATATGAATGAGGCCATGGTAGGCCTGGTCCCACTCAGGCATCTTAGATATACACATCCTTAAGCCGTGCCATGGCTATTTGTCCTGAACCTAGAATCTACAGGCTCAAAACTGAAGACTTAAGTTCATAGCAAGATGCGTGTATGGCTTTGGGGAAGCCCCAGAGTTTTATTTCATCAACAAATAAAAATATTGCAGAGCACAGAGACTAAAAAGTTAAAAGTTAAATGTACTTTTCTGTTGTTTACTCTCATGAATGATATGCATTAAGCAATTAATTTTGTTAGTTTGTTATTATTTCTTTAAGCTCATTAAACAGAGTGCTTGCATATATTTTGGCATCATAAAAACATCATATATAGATAACACAGAGACATACAGACATATAGAAAGAAGCAGATCTGATAGCCTTCATTAAGATTTTTTATTTGCCAGGACCAGCAGTTAGCGTAATGGCTATGTCACTGGACTCTCACGCAGTCGACCACGGTTCGAGTCCTGGACCCAGTGGCTTAAACTCACGCTGGGCGCATGTGCATGCATGCCCAAGATCCCAAGAGGAGAATGGAGGAGAAGGGATTGCGGCGTGGCCATTCCCCCGGGGGGTGATTTCTCGCTTTCTGTCTCTCTGTCTCTCTCTGTCTGTCTGGCGAGCGCACGCGCCCTATAGCAAAAACCTCTCCCCCCCAAAAAAAAGAAAAAAAAAAGATTTTTTATTTGCCAATTTTCAAATTTTTTCCCTCCTCTTTAGATTATCAATTTTTTGATTACTTACTTCATTGTCCCAAGCAGTCATTAGCCAGGTAACCCTAAATTTGCATGCCCAAAAGACCAACTAAAATACCAGAATGCTATATATATATATTTTTTTTTTTGAGAGATTTTCGCTATAGGGCATGCGTGCTCGCCAGACAGACAGAGAGAGACATAGAGACAGAAAGCGAGAAATCACCCCCAAGGGGGGATGGTCAAGCCACAATCCCTTCTCCATTCTCCTCTCGGGATCTTGGGCACACATGCACACACGCCAGGCATGAGTTTTAAGCCACTGGGTCCGGGACGCAAACTGCGGTCGTCTACATGGGAGTCCAGCAACATAGCCATTACGCTAACTGCTGGTTCCCCAGAATGTTATATTTTTTAGATCAATAATTAATAGTCTCTTCAGTCTACCTTGTTTCTTAGTTAGATTATCAACTTTAGGTTGGGCTCCATAAATTGGTCAAAGAAAGCATTATTTATGGCTGATTTATCACTTATAACTACTTCATATAACTGTTTTTTAAAATCTAGGTTCATTTAGATTTTTTAAAACAAATCAGTTTGTTGTTTAAGCTTTTCATTTGGCCTTTTGTAAAGACCTTCTTAGACGAGGCAATAACAAATATTGTAAGGTCTAGCTGCAGTGGCACTGGTAGTGGTGTGCCACCACATAATGCTGAAGGGATGTAGAAAGGTTCAGGGTTTGAATCCTGGGTTGACCTGAGCACCATGGGTGTACCTGTGACCCTAGCTGGGTAGAGGGGTTTGGCGAGGTTTGTGGCCTAGTGAAGTTTCCCCTTCTTTAATGAACAAATAAATAAACTTTAAATAATTAAAAAATATTTTTAAATACCTCTTCACATCAATAGATATTCTTAATTTAGGTGTTTTCATTTCAAAATGCATTTTAGGCCTTCATAAGCCAGAATCACTCTAAAAACAGCCAAAGAGAGACTTAAAGCAATACCTGTCCATGGGAGGAAATGACTAATCTTTAAGCACAGTGTGGA